ATTTACAGCATAATCGCTATCCGAGAGACAACGATTATGCAACCAAATTGGAGCATTGGACTACTCATACGTGTCTGCTACAATAAACATTGCAACTTCATTCCATCCCAAACCTAATTACTACTTTTTATTTCACTATTATACTTTGCACAAATCTTACGGGATCTACACCTTATATTATTATTTTTGTTTAAATCTTTTATGTGTTATAGCTATGAATGGTTACGCCTACCACAACACGAGGAAATAATGACAGAGAACCAAAATTTAGGGCCTATAGATACCTTGTAAATCCCACCGTGGACCAAAACATAAAGGAAAATGTTTATATATAAGGTTGAAATCTTTAAATAGAATTAAGGTGCATCTAAAACTGTGATGTTGGAAAACGCTCTAATTGATCATATCGACATCAAGATGAATGAATATGTGGAGAAATAAAGCTTTCGAGTTCCAAAAATAGTGCATCTTACAATATATTATTTAGACTGTCTGTTTTTATAGATCCACTTGATTTGAATGTATTTTCAAGATTTTCATGTGTTCATTGTCCCTTTGTTTCTATACGTTGGAATTGGTTAATGAACATGATTGGTGTGTCCTTTCCTTTACCTCAAAATGTGTTGGATGTTGTCCATCAATTCTCTCCCTCATTTTTGTCTAAAGTTGGCGGGATGATTTAGAAAATTGCTATAGGCACGATCCTTTGGAAAGTGTGGAAGGAGAGGAACATGAGGACCTTTGAAGGGATTGCACTGCCTATGGATAAAGTTTTTTATATGATCAGATTGTCTATTTGGTCAAGCCTCTCGGTGCCTAAGGAAGGTCGGGGTATCTCGAAAATGAATGTAATGGTGAATCTCCCAAATCTGTTTTCCCTTGGTATGCATAGATGTAAGCCAAAAGGATTATGGGTTAAGCCGTCATTGGGTTGTATTAAACTGAATTTTGATGGGAGCTCACTTGGGAACCCAGGCTTAGTTGGGATTGGAGGGGTGTTCCGAGATTCTTATGGTAATACCCTTCTGTCTTATGCGGGCCCTATTGGTGTAGCTATGGCTAATTTGGCGGAACTGCATGCTTTGCTTAAAGGGGGTGGAGATTTTCACAGACAGGAATTTGGGATCCATATGTTTGGTTGAAGGTGATTCTTTGAATGTGATCCGTTGGTGTCGAAAGGAGCAACTGATTCTGTGGGAGCTTCGGTCCTCTTGGCTGAAGATCTTAGATATTTTTGTTTCTTTCTCCCACATTTACCATGAGGCTAATGGTAGTGCTGATGCCTTAGCGAAAGGTGGTGTGTCTCTTCCCTCTATTTGTATTGCCAATGATGTAAACTCATTTTTCTGATTAATAAAGTTCTTGGATGTCTTTTAAAAAAAAAAAACCATTTTTAAAGTTTAAAAATTTATGATTAGATATAGAAATGGATTATAAAGCCATCTTAAAAATATTTTATACAAAAATTACATCTTATAACAAAATTTAGAGATACACCTTAATTGGATTGTTTAACGTCGGAACCTTATACACCACACCCAAACAAAAAAGACAATTCGACCGCATTGTTCCTTGACAAACAACAAAGGCTAATCCCCAATTTCCATCCATCATTCAAATAAATAACAGTAACGCTGTTTAAGTTCTTGCCATTATTATCCTAAGCACTTAAATTGATAACTATCCGTTGTTTTAATATTTTTCTCGTTTGAAGTTGCAATGGCTCATTAACCGAAACTTCAATATCTTTATCAATTACATTTGTAAAAGCGGTGTTTGACTGCTCCGTTTGAATCCCGCATCCTAAGGAATCGGGCTGAGAGCTCGGTGTCCGACTCCAGGATATTAAAAAATAATAATAATAGAAATTTTCCAATTAATAAGGACTTTATTTGTGATATTTTTTTTATATTTTTCATTATTTTAGCAGTTCGAAAAGTGTTTTGATCATGAATACTTATTTTTATATTTTTTTATTTTTTTTGGATTAATATCTAAAGATAAATGGCACTATGAGATCCTCCCTCATCCACGTGAGTAAAACTCCAAATGATCACCATTAAATTTGACGTGGGAGGGTCTCATAGGATCATATCTAAAATACTTTCAATTATAAGTTAGATTTTTTAAAATCTATTTTTCTATTACTTTTTAAACCTCATTTTGATGTATTTCGCTTAATCTTATTTTAAACATCCATTTTTTTTTTGGGTTTTACCCTGTACCCTTATAACAACAAAAATAGGAAACCCCATACCTGTTGTTGGCTTTCCCTCTCCCTCTTTATCTTCCCTCCCAAACTTGTACCCCCTCTCTCTTTATTGGAACCCCAAAATTTCTCTATCTTCTCTCGTCTCCCATTCTTTCTCTGCAATCGAAAAGTCCTCTCTTTTCCCAGGTTGTCTTCCCCTTTACATTTGATCTGGAAAATAGAAAGCTATGGAACTCCATTTGTTTGGCGACTGATAATAAATTGTGCTTTTTATTTGTTCTTAATGGCACCAATTCCTCATGTCATTGTGGCTGGTTTGCTGTGAGTCATGCTTATAGCAATGGGTTTTTGGCAAAGGATGGAGGACAGACCTTAGTCAGAGAGAGAGAGAGGGCGATAAATTGGTTCAAGTGGGAAGGGAGGCTTCAGCGAAAGAGAGAGAGAGGGAGGCTTAGATAGACAGAAGTGGGAAGGGAACGAGGGACGTTAAAGAACATATAAAATATACTTTTAATGGCATTTCAGATCATTATCGCTTACTTACTGAGGAGATTAACCGGTGAAAGAGCGAATCGCACATCTCGAGGTATTCCAAATGGGCGGTTACAAACTAAAATCACTCAAAACTTCATAAAAAAATATATATTTTTAATATTAAAAATCATTTAATTAATCATCTCGACATCGAGATATATGAATACGAAAAAAAAAAAAATATTTTGAGTTCTAGAAATATTGCATCTTACAACAAATTATCTAGACCGTCCATTTTCAAGATTTTCATATATTTATAGACTTACTTTATTTTAGCTATTTTTGGAGTTTAAAAATTTATAATTAGAATAAAAATAGATTTTAAGATAATCCTAAGAGTTTTTACACTAAAAGTACATCTTATGATAAAATTTGGAGGTGCGCCTTAATTGGATTGTTTAAAGTTGCAAAAACCACACCTATCTAAAATACACATGATCATTCCCTTTATATCATTTCTTTTAACTTTTCTTTTTCAAAAAAATTGTTTCATGCATGCTGGACCGCATTTCTACATATGCGTTCTAGAAAGTGTAAAGCATCCATCTTAAAGATGGATGCAGGTAGGTGTTCCATCTAAAAATAATGGAAACTAACGGTCCAAATGTTTTCTTACTAGTATTATTATGTTTAGTTTTAAAATTTATTTATTTTTTCATATTCATGATTTTCTCAAAAATTAAAAATTAAGTCTTAAAATCCATCTCAAAAATAGATTTATTAAGAAGCCCTCATTTCTACATATGCGGGCATGGCTGCAAGGAAATCGAGTTTTTTTTTTTTTTTTTTTTTTTTTACTGCTACAGCGGATCAGGTACGAGCCAAGGGCCAAGTACTTGCCCCGAGCAGTGGTTTCGTAACACTGCCTAAAGGTTGCAATTAACCAGCATTAATATGCACATTTGGATTGGGCCTTCTGGCTTATAAATTGGGGCGTGTGAGGACACTTCATCTCTACTATTTTTCAATGATACAAAACCATATAATTTAAAGGGTGCGGTTTCTATAAGGTTGCTTAAACAATCCAATTAAGGCGCACCTCCAAAATTTATCGCAATATATAATTTTAGTGTAAAACATTGTCTTGAAAATCTATTTTCATATCTAATTACAAAATTTTAAACTTTAAAAATGGTTAAAATCAAGTAGATCTATAAACATATGAAAATCTTGAAAATTGACGGTCTAGATAAT